GGGGAAAAAAAAGCCCCAGCTCAACAGGTGCTGCTGGGTGGGAGGCAATCCCCGCTGCCCCCCCCACTGCATGGGGGCCTCTGTATGAGCCTCTGAATTGTACCTCCCCCCCCCGCCCCCAGGTGCCCTGCACGGGCCAGCTCTGGCCCTTTAAGAAAAAAGACCAACCTAAAGATAGAAACTTTTTTTTGAAGTATGGAGCTGGGGCAGGCGGGGACAGCAATGGGGGGGACTGGGGAAGCGAAGATTCGTAGAGCTTTGAATTGATTTGGACCTTTAAATTGGTCCCCTGATTCGATTCAGAGATTCGGCCGCTGAATTGGGCTGAATCTCCTCCAAAGCTTTGCACAGCCCTACTAAGAACCCTCCAATCTCACTGGGGTTGACTGAGAATGGAGGGTGAAAGGAACTTCACTGGATTATGCTTGGTTTTTTTTTTAACTGTACTACCAGGTTTTTTGTTAATAAAAATCACTTGGGAAAACTCTCCTTCCAAATGTGAGGAAGTGGCACTTCCTAATGGAATTAAAAGGACACAGGCTATCACTATTTCCCCATTATTAAGCTGTTTCTTGGGGGTCAGGCAAAGGTTCTCTTATACCTGAGAACATAGCTATGGTGGTATGGCTGTTGTGGGGCACCCGGTGGTGGCAGCACAGAGCCTCCCCTCCCCACCCTACTCCACCCACCCTACTCCAGGTACTGCAGTCGCACATTCCCGCCCCTACCCTGGAGGCTGGACAGTGCACCCAGCCTCAGATACCAACCCTACCCCACTCCCTCCCTCCCTCCCTCACCATGGCTGCTGCAATGTGCTCCCCTCCCAAACTTACCTGTAGGAGCTTCTCTCCACCTCTGCATGGGGCTGTATTCCTGGCCATGTGCATGTGTGCATCCCACTCCCCCAGCACCTTGCAGGCTGGAACTCTGCCAGCCTGCAAGGGGAAAGCCACAGTTTTTCATGTTTTTCTCCTTTAAACACTATGACTTCTAAATTTCTACTCTGGACTGCACAAAATACTGAGGGCAAGTTCTGAGAAAGTATCAGGCTCATTATTTTATCACTTCCTTGGTATTTCCTATTACATTATATTCCCAAGAGGGATCTGAAGATTGGGTGAGAAGGTTAAGCTCCACTTTGCCAGTCAGCTCTGAATACTCACCTGCTTCCCTTGAATGACCATTGCTAGGCATCCCAGTACTGTCAGGACAACCATTAGGTAGCTGACCTTCACACGTAACTTGCCCCTTGCAGCATCAATCATCTCGAACCTTATGAGATAAAGAGAGACCAAAGACAGAAAAGCAAATACTCACATCACTTCCCATTAAGGAAATAGCATTTGTTGTAGGCTTTTCACCAACGATAATAAACATTTTACCAAGATGGGACAGCACTATTCTCCAAGGAAATGTCTTGCCCAAGATCAGAAGTCCATAGCAAAGCTGGGAAAGGAAGCTAGTTCTCCTGATATTTGATCCTTTGCTCTAATAATCAGATAATGTCTTTACTTGAATCTAAGATGACCCTGAATTTAAGACAACCCCCCAATAATTAGATGTTATACATAAAAAATTATAACAAATTTATAGGGGGTAGGTGTTGTGGGGAGGTCAAGCAGTTTATCCCCTGCTTGGCCTGCCCCCCTGCTGCCTGTCACACATCGTTTTCCCTTATGTAGACATGTCCTAAAAGTCTGCAGGATTAAACACACATTACCCCCCCCCAATTCTGTAATTATATCTGGCTCTTTCTAAAGAAGGGAGAGTGGCTTAGTCATCTAAACCAGGGGTTAGCAATCTATGAGTCAGAAAAAGACTGGATCTGGTCTGTATTTTAATAACCATTCCTGTAACCAGGAATAAACTGTGAAACGCAAACCTTTTGAGAGGAGAGAGGGAGGCAGGGGTTCACCACATTATGCCATCACAAAAAAAAAAGATGATACCCCTTTTCAGTAAGATGGGCTGCTTCCAGCACTGGGCTTGAAAATGTTAATGGAAAATTATTATAAATAGAGATTTTGTATGATCCACCTCCAGTATGACCACCAGCAATTTATGTTGCTAGAAAATCTGAGTAAATAGCGCTGTACAAATGACCTTTCCCACCATCTGCTAGAACAGTGGTGCTCAAGCTTTGGCTCTGCTGGCCAGGTGCCTGGTGCCGGGCCAGTCCCTAGGCCAGATCAAGCCCCACGTACCAGGATCGGGCCCCATGGGGCCTCAGTTGGCCCTTGCAGGCCAGGATCAGACCCTGGGGCCCTGCATTGCCTTCACACATCAGGATTGGGGCCTGACAGTCTGTACTGCCCCTGCCTGGCCTGGTGAGCTACCACTCTGGCTCACAGGCCAAGGGTTGAGCACCCCTATGCTAGAATAATCTTTTAAGGGAACTCATCTGTTCTTGTGAGGAGCCAGCTCACCATGCCATGCAAGCTTTGTCTGCTTCCAGTCTTTTGCAGATTTTATTACATCTCAAGAAGCCCAACATCTGTGGTTACATCACTTGCTGCAGAACATTTACAGTCTGGCTTTTTCTAAAGGGAGAATGGCTGAGTCATCTAAACCAGGGGTCAGCAATTTATGAGCTGTAAAAAGACTGGGTCTGGCCTGTGTTTTATTAATTATGTGCCAATCCACTGCTGACACTCCAGCCATCCAATCTAGTTCATATTTTACTAAAAGTACACCAATCCCCTGCTGCTGCTCCAGCCCTCCAAGCTCTGTTCTGAGGACTGCTTTCCTGCCCACTCCTCCACAGTGCAGCCTCTGCTTACCATTTTCATAGCCAATTCAAGCTCACCCTCTCCACTGCTTTCAGCAGCACATTTTTAAGCAGTGGCTGCATTAGGCATGTAAGTGTAGCTTTCCATACAGAGCTGAGACAGCTGGGGCAGTAAGGGAATCAATGGTCTGCAGTAGTGCCTAACGCCTGAACTAAGCATTCCTAATGCCCTCCGTGAAAGCCAAAAAAGAACAATGAAAGGATGTATCAAATACTTCAAAGTTCAACTATCAACAGGTCTCTGTCCTAAACTGAGCTAAATCTTAAAAGACTGAAATATAACTTTGATGGTACAATTTCAACAGGCCCCTAACAAAATCATAGGAAGCTGGCACTAAGGATATCAAACACCAGATGCATCTCAATGGTATAAATTTCTCTCTGTAGTTGCAGAGAACATTGGGGCTATCAAGAGTCAGTTTAGCATTTCAATGAACTCTGGACCTAGGTTATTAGTCATAAACTTCCATCAGTTCAATGTATGATTTTTTTTAAAATTCTGGCAGCAAATTGGTAGTGCATGAATATTCTAATTTAAATGTATTTAATGTATTTGCAGTAAGTGTAGGCATTCACAGAATTCTGAATTTCAAATCAAGTGTTAAGTAGATTTGCTTTCAAAGTAAAGTTAAAAAATCCATTTTTTTAAATCGCCTTTTATCTGCCATGCCTGCACCTTAGAAAAATTTTTAAAAAAATACAGATCTGCAATCAGTCTCTGCATTGTGTATCAGGATGAATGGAATATATTATGGAAAGGGCCCCCAGATTTGCCTGCCTTAGGATCACAGGCAAGTAGGGCTGGAAGGGACTTCACAAGGTCATCTAGTCCAACTCCTTGTTCAAAGCAGGAGCATCCCTTGACTAAACCATCCCAAGGCAAATGTCTGTGCAACCTGCTCTTAAAAATTTTCAGGAACAGAGATTCCACAACTTCTCTAGGAAGCCTGTTCTAATGCTTGACCACTTGCATAGCCAGAAAGTTCCTCCTAATCTCCAACTCAAATTTCCTCAGCTGCAGCTAGAGGCCATTGCCCCTAATTCTCTCTCCTACAGCCATAGACAAAAGCCCATCTCTCCATCCTCTCTCTAACTGCCCTTCAGGTGTTTGAAAATTTATGAAATCCCCCTCCAGCCTTTTTTCCCCCAGACTCAATAACCCTACTTCTTTCAGCTTTCCCTCATAAGCCATACTTCCCAGGCTTCTAATCATCTGTGTTGCTCTCCACTGGTTTCTTTCCAATCTGTCTACATCTTTTGTGACGTTTGGGGCCCAAAACTAGACACAGTATGCCAAGTGAGGTCTCCTTAGTACTGAACAGAGGGAAAGAACCACTTCCCAAAGCAATAAGGTATAATGTATTTGAGGCACATATATAAATATGTAAGAGATTACTATTTTAAAAACATACTGGGTGCATCTACATGTGCGTTTTAATGCGTAGTCGACTGCACATTAGAGTGTCATGTAAAAAAATATGACATTACACTAATGAACAGTAAAAGTCTACTGTATATTAACTGTCACTACAAAAGCATGCAAATGCGCTACTGCACATTAGTGCAACTTAACATGCATTTAGTAGCTTACATTGGAGGTACTGAATTTAGTGTGCATTAGGAAAGGCGCAATAATGCACGTGTAGACATGCCCAAAGTCAGCATAATTTGTTTTATAAAAAAGGCATACCTGAATAAGTTAGTCTTTAAGGTGCTACCCTGCCCTGCCTGACTTCAAACTAACATAGCTAAAGACCTCTCTACTGATAGCTGCAGAAGAGGGTTGTTTGTCAACTTCTAGACTAGGTTAGACAATCACTTGTTTTAAGATTATTTGGATGAGGATATTTCTGCTTTGAGCATAGTGGAGTAGGGGGAGGTTACATGTATTACTACATCTCTGCTGCCCCACCATAATCCTCTAATGTCAGTGGTCTCCAACCTTTTTAAAGTAGATCACCTTTGACATATAAAAGCAACCCAAGATCTACGGTGTGCTGACACCCCACCCTCCCCCCACCCAGCAGATAAGTCTGTGGGAAGGGAAGAGGGGGGCAGATCAAGACAGAGGGAGAAAAAATTATTTGGAGGTATGCATCCCCAGCAGGTAAGTCCCACCCAGCCAGGGCCCCACTCAACTTTCCCCTGCTCTTGCCTCTGTGGCACTGTCCCTCTCTGCCGGGGCCTCGATCTAGCCCCAGCCTCTTCCCTCCCCCACGAACTGACCTGCTGGGCCAGGGCATGCGTGTGCTCCAAGATCTACTAGTGGATCGAGATTCACTGGTTGCTGACTACTGCTCTATGTTAACTTGCTATAACATGATAGTTCATCCATATTCCAAAATTAGTTGATTCAGGGTCTTTTAATGATCTGACCCATACTTTTAGACTTCCCTTTGGAACAATCAATCCAAAGGGTTAAATTAAAGAATTCCAGGCAACTGATATATAGTTCCTCTATCAGAGATCACAACAGGGTAAGATTCCAGGCATCCCATGCTCCAGACATCACAACTGCTAAAAACTGAGAAGTGTTTGATTCTGCACAATTTTCTTTCACCTACAGAAACCCACTTGCTCTAGGAAAGGAAACTCTGGAGAAGGGCACAAGTACCTCATCAGTATGTAGACAATCTCTAGCTTATAATTTCAGGAACTTACGAGACAGTCTCTGGTATATCCTCTGCTTTTTTGAAACGGCCTGACCACAGGAGAATCTTCTTGTCCCAGTCTGTGGGCCTGTGTCCTGGAACTTTGAATGAGGGCTGACCTAAATCCAACGAGGAAGAGAAAGACGATCATTATAGTTAAAACAATACTGGTCAGGTTGAACACCACAGATCTCCTTGCCTGAGCACTGCTGAAACTAAAGAGGAGAAGGAATCATATACACAAAGAACTTCTTTACGGTAACGGTTGCCAGAATCTGGAATGGGTTTACAAGGGAGGTGGTGCTCTCCTCTATCTTGGGGATCTTTAAGAGGAGACTGGACAAGCACCTGGCTGGGGTCATCTGACCCCAGCACACTTTCCTGCCCATGGCAGGAGATCAGACTTGATGATCTATTGAGGTCCCTTCCGACCCTAACAACTATGAAACTGTGCAGGCCGGCTCCCGGTCCCGTCCTTGCCGGGCGCGAGGAGATGGTCGCGGTGTAGGCTGGACAGTTTCCAGGTGCAGCTCCGCTTCAATCCTCGTTGGAGGACTCTAAAACTCGGTTCCCAGGATCCTCGGAGTGGTTCAGACTCCGTGGTTTCGATAACTGGGTTCTAGGGTAGGGATTCGTCTGGGCTGCGATCGGTGATGGGGAGAGGCCAGAGGCCATCGGTAAGTGGTGCCCCGGAGTTTGCTAGGCTCCGGGGGTTCGGCAATTGGAGCCTCTATCGCCTTCTTAAGAAAGACGCGCTGGGTTCGAAAGGACCCACAGCGCTTAGAGATCCGTCTCTCTCTCTGTCTTTCTCTCCAACTTGGGCGGAAACCACCCAAGCCTTTTGTATGGCTAGCAAGCCAATAGCTACCCGCCGCATGTGCCTAAATTAAGACTGGCCAATAACGTGGCTCAAATCTCAATACAACTGGCGGGAACTCCTTTGCAGCGTGCATCACTATAATGCAAGAGCAATGCACAATGCAAAGAAGGCTACAAAACAGCGGGAAACACTTTTCTGCACGCGGGTTCTCTATAACAACAGAACACTCCGTCGTGAAAAAGAGCTGCAATTTGGCGGGAACATAATTTAGCGGTGCTGAAGCGCACACAATCAAAAATCCACAACTTTGGGTTGTGACAGAAACAAGCAGAACGAATGGGAACAAATGAAAAGCTAGCAAATCTTACTTAATGCCTTGCATATTTGGTGTTTCTGAGGCCAAAGGAAATGCTGCAGAAACCACACTTTGCCCAAACTCATGCTCCAGAATCTATGCTTCCATTTCCTAAAAAGTCACAGGCTTCATTCTCCATTGCCTTGCACCTTCTGTCATTATTTACACCTATGCAAAACAGGCATAAGGTACATCATGACAGGGAAGTGTTTCCCAAACTGTGGGATGTGCTCCATAAGGCCAGTGAAAGTATGAAGATAGCTGGGGTTGGTGAGGTGAGGACTGACTGTTAAACTGTTGTCCAGAGATTTAGCTTATATTAACAGAAGTTATTAGTTACCAGGGTTGCAAAAGAGCTTTCCAAATGTGATGTAAATGTAATCACTGATAGCTGTATCTCCAGGAGTTTGTAGAGTGCCCAAAACACTTGCTCCAACATGTGAACTGCTTTACACATTTCCAGTGCAACAATTTCTAACTTGAATTTCAAGAATCACATTTTAAATGACAACTGTTTCTGTTTCTAACAACTATTTTGCTGTCCATAGATCTACGAATAGCATCTGACGAAGTTGTTACCTACAAAAGCTCATAGCTCTCTTTAACGTACCACCTACCTATCCTGCCTTCTGTCAGAATGATCGTGCAGTGCATAGGAAAGGCAGTTTCATGGATTGCTGCTTGCTGAGAAAGTCTCAGTGCTGTTTTGACTATCATACCACTTCTAAATATACATACTCTTTACTGGAACAAGTGGCCAACTCTAGAATACCGTCGGAGCATTCTGAATGTATAATTACTGGGATAAGAACTAAAACTAGGATTTAAAAGTTCCCTGTTATCATTAGAAGAAAAATTTCCCCAGGTCTGTAATAAAATATTGGGCTTGAATCTGAATTTAATGATGTATCTTATGAATGAAAATGAAATGATTTTCAAAAAGGCAAGGGCATTGACCTTGACCAAGATTTTACTCATGCTGGTTTCCCAACTACCTCTTAAAATTATCACTATGGTAAAAATAGTCTCTCTGTCTGTCTCATCCTCAGTCAGTACGTATCATACCAGGCCATGTGTGGCCAGGTCTGCAGGTCACCCAGCATCAAAAGAAGCAGCTAAGATCCAAGGGGAGCACACAGAGTCAGAGTGTAGGGAAGCCAGAAGATCTGTCTGAGGAACAGAGTCAGAAATCCAGAGGGTCAAGCCAGATCTGGTATCCAGGAGATCAAACCAGAACTGGGCCAGGAAGCCAAAAGGTTAAGCCAAAATCAGGGTCCGTGGGCAAGCTGGCTTGGGTATCCAGAGTCTGTCAGAGAACCAGTAGCAGCACAAGCCAAGGATACAAGGTTGAACCTTATTGTCCAGACACTTCCTTTTTGGGGTCATGGGTTTACATTGGAAGGGCTGAAGGGTCAGTTCACCCTGGCTGACCACTCTGGTGGCAAGCAGTGTGCATATGGCTAGACCCAGACGGAGGGTTGTGACCATTTGAGCCTGCTCCCGTGTGCTACTTAGGAAGTGCCAGACAGGGATGAATAGATATGCCAGGCAGGCTGAGGCCCCAGGTTCAAGTCTGCAGCCAGACAGCATGAGAGTTCAGTACAAACTGGTTCAGGTGCAAACTGGTGTGCCTCCACACGCTGGATCCAGCTGTAAAGCAACTGTGGCATGACCACACACTGGTGCAATCAGAAGCACAGGGCCATGTCATCTGGATCTGTGAGGCTCTTCCTGGGTCTGGAAATTTGTCAGCAGGGGAGTGGTGGCAGCATTAATTGCTGCAACTCTGGGAGCAATTAATGTTGCTATGGCTCCCACACTACCATATTTCTGGAACTGTGGGGAGCCCCAGGGCTGGATGACATGGCTCCATGGGCTGTAAACTGAGCACCCTTGCTTTATACCTGTTACACCTCAGACTGGCTGTGAAAACTGCTAAAAATATTTTCAACTTTCCAAGCAAAAGAGCTGTTACTTGACCATTATAGTTTGTTTTTCTCAACCTGTAGGTCAGGACCCATAAGAATATATGAAAGGGTTGTGAACAAACTTTAAAAATGGATTCTCCTTTAAAGAAGAAAAATATGGGGAACTGTGGCTTTCCCCTTGCAGGCTGGCAGAGTTCCAGCCTGCAAGGAGCTGCTTGGGGCCCCACATGCCCCACCCCTTGCAGGGCAGCAGGTGGGGAGTTAGGGGCACTGGGTCAGGACTGGCCACAAATGTGTCCTGGTACAAAAAAGGTTGAGAACCACTGATCTAGACATTACTGCCTTCAAATCATGGTCAATGTGAAACATCCTTAGCACAGTCAAGGTCTCAGATGCCAGCTGGAACAGCCTCAAGGATGATCATGGAAATAAGGAGAAAGCAAAATACAGATTTCCCTTGCTTAATGTAGGTTCTGTTTATGTAAATTCGCTCTTATGCGATGACCCTTTTTATACCAAAAATTCATTATATGCGAGGTAAATTCACTCTTATGAGATCAGTGTGGTGGAAGCCCAGTCAGCTGCTTTGTGCAGTGCATTGTGGGAGTGACACACACCAAAATATAGTCTCTCCTGTGTGGATCTGTGCTCCTTGCTCGTTGTCTGCGACACGTGTTTCTGTAGTTGCCATCCCCATTATGGCTTCTAAACATCCCACTTGCTTATCTCCTACCCCTCTCTGGCCCCATCAGTGAAGTCTTCACCACTCTCTTCACACCAACTAAACACTCACCACCACCCTGTGCTTGTGTGTACTGTCTACTGCTGGTGAGTACCAAAATTGCCTTGTAACAAGTGGTAGAAATGGGTCTGGGGGTCAGTACAGTTGAGGTCTTGGAACGTATCCCTATTTGTTATATAGTAAAGTGGGTTTTCTTTATGCAAATGTGAGTTATGCGCCGTTTTCCAGGAACCCATGTACCGCATAAAGCGAGGGAAACCTGTATTTAAAGCTTGATGTTCTGTGAAGAGAAGAAACAAAAATACCTAGACCTAATACCCACGGCGGAGACGGGTGCGCGTGGGCCCCGCTCCCACCCTTCAGCCGGCCCCGCATGGCGGCCGCAGGAGGCCTCGTGCCGCCCTAGGCTATCGCTTCCGCCCACGCCGGCCCATGCGGGGGACAGATGGGCGGGTGGGCGTCCTGTTGCCCAGCGCTGCGGTGCTCGGGCCCGGACAGCTCCGCCTGCAGGCCCCGCGGATGTATTGGGGTCCGGGGCAGGTAGAAGAGTGGAGGCCCCCACAGCCCGCTCTACGCACGGACATGCGGGCTTCTGCGCGGGACGGCCCGGCCCGGGTGGGGGGGGGGGGCACATGCCCGCGTCGG